AGAGCCTGGAGGACGGTGGGCTTGGCCTGCTCTTGGTGGGACACACCCCAATGCCATGGCTCCTCTCCCTTGCCATGTCGTCCTTGCTCACATGTACAATGGTGGCTGCGTCCTCTGGGCTCTTGTGTCTTCTGCTTGCTCTGGTCTCTTCCTCCCACTGTGCACTAATTAATTTTTGTCTAGTCCGAGCCAGTCTGTAGCTTGAAACCTACTGATGGTTTGGGATGAAACCAGATTTCTTCCTGAGCATGTGTGTCCTAACTGGCCACCTTATCTCCCATCCACAGTCCATGCCTGGTCACAAGGGTGTCTTACTGCTCCTTGAAGATACCATCTCCTTCTGATCGCATTTCCTTTGCACTTGTTGTGTGCTCATCTATGAAAATTTCCATGAGATTTCCACAAGACTCCTCCCTTCCTTGATTCTGGTGCCTACTTAGATGTCACTTCCTTGGCAACCTCTTTTCTGATGGCCTTATCAAAGATCATCTGTCTGCCCTTCAGCTGTTTTCTTTTGATGACACTGTATTTTGCTTTTACTTTTTTTTAATTTTTTTATCTGAATCTATGTCAAAACCACAATTTCCACACAGGTGGACGCACTCTCTTTGCTCACAGTGTAGATAAGGGCCAGACATCTCAGGATGATAAAGTGGGCAGCAGCTCTTGCTCTCAGCCTGTCTTCCTCCCAGGTTCCTTACTTAGCCCCGGTTTTTTGGAAACTTATAGGGCCTCTTTGTGTAGCTCAGGATGGCCTGGAATTTGCCATCTTCCTGTTCACCTTTCCAAGTCAGGACTGCAGACATTCACCACAATAACCTGGTTTCCATTGGAATCTTGCAGGAACAGTTGTCCTGATAATTGTCAAGGTCCTGTTTATCCCTTAGAATTGTCCGAGAAAGACAGCCACGTAGGGTGTAGGATGGTGGAAAGGTCTGCTTTATGAAGCTTCCATTTTTGGCTGACTCCTTGTTCCTAGAGGACCTGAGAGTTTTGAATTGTGGGCCCTAAGGAGGCTTGGGGGCCTTGCAGGTCCCATGTGTGCATGTGTATGTGCTGAGGGGAGGCACTCTACCTGTGGAACCTGAGTTTTAGTAGCACAAGGCACAGAAGGCATTGCTGATCTGGAGACAGGTTCTTGGCACCCAGATGTGTTCTCTTTTAAACCTATCAATCACACCCTTCTCTGGCCTCAGGGCTACAGATGTCTGGCTGGCTCTCTCAGGATCCTCCTTTCCCATTTCATGAAGGAAAGAGGCTTACCTTCTCCCTGCTTCCCTGCTATCCTAGCAGACACTGTTGCCGCCAGCTGCAGGCCTCTGAGTCTCTTCCTGGGGGAGGATGACTCTTAGTGTCTCTGGGAGTGGGGTAGGACTGGAACTGGGAGGCAGGGGTTCAACCAGGCCTCCCTTCCTGCCTGCTGCCCACCATCACCCCTCAACCCTCCTCCCATCTCATTTCTCACCTCTCTGGTCCTTGCATCCATCCTTCCATCATGGTACAGAGCAAGAAGCAGGTGTGTGAAGAGGCTTTGGGGAGCTCTGCGTATTAACCTCAGGGATCATTACAGAGGGCACAGGGGATGACAGAGCACCCCATTTTTGCTTTCCATTTGTCATTCATCCTCTTCCCTTAGTGCCCAAGGTAACTCTGGGAGGCTGGGCTCTTGCCCAGTGAAGGATTCTCTGCCTCTTTTGGTCTGTCCTGGGAGGGCTCCTTTCCCTGTCAGGAGCCACCTGGCCATCCCCTTTCAGTGGGACAAGGTGCCAGTGCGGGACAAGGTGCCAGTGCAGGACTGACCAGTGGGGCCTGGCGGTCTGCAGTCCCATGGGAAGCCTCCCTAGGAATGGGGTACTTAGACTTCTACAGTTTGAGAAAAACTTCCGCAGCTGCCCGGACCATCTCCTACCTCTTTATTCCTCATCTTCCCATCCTGCTCACTTCCCCTTCCATGACTTTCCCTCTTCTCTCCTTCCTCACAGGCATCTAGGAAGTGCTTCAGGTTAGAGGAAGCACCCTGCGCATCTTCCCCACCCAAATCACCCAGGAGGTGGCAGTCAGGACCCAGTACATCTGTAGATTTACAGACAAGGGCTCTGAACTCTCAGCTGTGCCATCCCCCCCCCCCGCCGCCAGTCCTAAAATGACAGACTTGCACCACTATGAACACAGCGTCTCTCTCTTTTTCTTGAAGCTGTGGCCACCAGCTGCACACACTTCTCAAATAAGACTGCCTCTATTTTGTTGCGCCTTCCCTGCAGCCTGCAAGTCCAGGGCTCACCATGATCTGTTCTTTCCTCACTTGTAACAAGTCTTGGCTGTCCCCAGGCTGCTCTTCTCACTGTGAAGAGCTCCTGCATCCCATGGAACACCTGACCCCTTAGCCTACAACAGGGCCTAAAGCGTAACAGGAACCCAGAAGGGAGTCTAGCATATTGGAGACAGTGGCTCTCCTGAATGAAGCCACATGGGTCCCTGTGGCTGAGCCTGGCTGCATCTGTGCTTTATCTGTCTTGTTTCCCTTCCCTTTGCAGTGGGCACTGAAACATACCTGTGATGATAACTTGGTTTAGGTAGGGAGACTGCTATCCACTCCAGCTACCCCTTCTCTTTCTCTTTCTTTATATATTTAACTTTATGTGTTTTGCCTGCATGCATACAAGTGCACCCACGTGTGCAATGCCACCAGTGGCCAGAAATGGGCATCAGATCCCCTGGAATTGGAGTTGCAGATGGTTGTTAGCCACCATGTGGGTGCTGGAATCAAACCCATTCCTTCTTGCAAGAGCAGCCAGTGCTTTTAACCACTGAGCCATCTCTCCAGCTGCCGAACCCAGCCTCTTGATTCATGCCCCAATTTGTGCTGTCTTTTCAAGCTGCTCTCCCCCTCCTCGGCTTTGGTGGTAGCTGTACCAAGAAGGGTCTGTGGGAAGTGATTCCCAGTGGTGCCCATCCCTCTGTCCTCTCAGCAGTGGGGAGGAGCAGGGAGGAAAGGAAGCCAAGCATCAGGGACAGCCTTGGGTCATGCCCCCCAGCTACACAGTCTCTAAATGGGAGTGTGTTACTACTTGCACCCAAACAGTGGTTTCTAACTTTGAGGAAGAAGGAAGTCCTTGCTGGTGTTTCCCTTTCTCCCTGCCTGAGTCCAGAGTGCACGCCTAGCCTGATGTCTTCACCTTTCCAAATCTGCCATGACTCTAATGACATCAGACACAGAAGGGTCCCTCCTGTTTAGACAGACACAGAAAGGCAGGAATGAGGCTAACTCAATTTCCTTTCCTGTGCCTCCAGTGTGCCTTACCAGCAGCTGCCTACTGGTGTGTGGACTACCCACCTTTGGACCAACTCCCAGTGGGTTAGGGAGGGCTTGGCAGCACAGCCCCGAGGCTCTGCTGGGGCTTTTCTTGATTGAGGACACAGACCCTGAAGGTTTGCTCCTGTCACTTTCTCTCATAGATTGAGGGAGACAGCGGTGTTGTGATCAATGACTTGGTGCCGGAGGACAAAATGGTGTAGGGCTTAGCTGCGAAGTCTCCCTCCTGTGTTACCCTGTCATCGGAATTTACAAAAGCTTCTAAGTGAACGGTCTCTGGAGAATGGCCCTAGAATTTTGCAAGTCATAAGCCTGGATAGAAACGTTTAAGTCTGCATACGACTCCCACCGTAAAATGTAGGGAGTTCAGAGGGCAAAGTAGAGAGGTGTGTAGAGCCCATGGGGCTCAGGACCCTTCAGCCCGGTGCCAAGACTGTAGCTTGCTGCACTTAAAAAATTTTTAAAAAACATTTTTGTTTGTATATGTGCATGTGTTCATGTGTGTGTGTGTGTGTGTGTGTGTGTGTGTGTGTGTGCACATGTGCAGATGTGTGCATGTAGTACTGGGATTATGAGTGCATGGGCTCCATGCCCTGCTTTTTACAAGGGTGCTGGGGATTGGTGCTTATGTTTATGCACAAAACTTTTGCTCTATCTTTCAAGATAAGCAGTTAGAAGTTTCTCAGGCTGGGCAGAGTGGGGCCTCCAATCCTAACACTTGGGAGGCAGAGGCAGGAAGATTGGAGTTCGACGTCAGGCTGGGTTACACAGTGAGTTCCAAGTCAGCCTGGGGATAAATAGGGAAACTCTGTCTTGAAAACAAAACAAAGCAAAGAAATCCCCCTTCCCAATAAAACCCCACTGGTTCCTAATCAAAGCATCATTACTGGACTTCAAACCCAGAAGAAATAATGTTAGCATGCTCTCTGAAAACTGCTTTCCAATGGCTGGAAATCAATCTTGGGGTTAGATAGTCTTGAGTGTCCAAACCAATTGGACCAAGCCTGCTACTGTAGCTCCCCCAAATGTATCTGTGATCTCTGTTTGTAGATCACTATCTTTAAATCCACATAGGAATTCTGTAACTGAATGTACAGCCTCAGGTGGTTAAAATTCCACCCATCAATAGCGGACTTCCCCTTGTCCTATTCCGTCTTTTCCATAAGTCAGCAGATTGGGAACTGGATGCACTGCAAGGAGGGACCCAGCCAGTAGCTCTGGATCCCCCATGGATGAGCAGCCCAGCTGGCTGACTGGGCTGTATCTTATCCTGGCAAACAAAATAGTCTGCATGAGACTGATTTCATTTGTGACACAGAATAAGAAAGCCAGTGAGCTAACTGGGCCACGCTCCTGGTCTTGATTCAGCAGGCATGACTCTGATGCCAAACACGGCATCCCTAAGCTATACTTGGGTACAATCCTGTCGGCGACTCACTGAGTCCTTCCCCAGTCACTGAACAGTCTTGGCCACTTGATATTTGATCTATTGTGAGGAACTCCATAAGTGAGAGAGTAAGAACCCTTGAATACTTCCAAGGTCCCCATGTTTAGAATGCTAACAAAGAGCTCAGAAGAATGCTCCCAGCAAGCCCAGCGAGTTGCCCCTGGATGAGTGCTGTTTGTGTATCTTCTTGACGTCTGTATGTTTGATATTCTGAATTTCTAATAGGTCTTATTTTTGCAGTTCCTGACCTCCACGGCTTTAAGAATATCCTTCACCCAGGACCGACCTCTGTGGCTTTAAGATTTGCCTGGTAAGGACCATTACTTTGTAGTTTTGAAGCTTGTTGAAGGGGCATCTGTCTGTGAGTCTAGGGAAGCCCAGGCTGTTTCTTTCTGGGGAGTGGTCACTCAGATTCTGTGGTGAGACAGAGTCCTTCCATAGACTCTCCTTTATTTAGATAACTGTGGTGGACTATGGTGAAACTTCTAGATGCAAAGGACTCTGGGAGGTGCCTTTGGGTTCATGTCTTCTGGGTGAGGTGAACATGTGCTAAGCAGATGCTCCCCCAGTGCTTGGATGGGACCTAACAAAGCCCAGCAAGGGTCACTTGATTGTATGACATCTTGAGTGCCTGTCCCAAACTGGCATTTGGAACCAGCGCGGGTGAGCTGGGGCTGTTGGAGCCACATGACTCTACACACGCACCTCCTGTTGTCCTTCTCCCCGCCCCTCCCTTGTGATGTGGTGGACTGGCCCAATGTTGGAGTATACCTGACCCAGAATAGCTCCATGTATGTCTTCTCAACCAAGCCTGATACCACAAGCTTAGATGTGGAGAGTTTTCCTCACACAAAAGCAGACAGAAACTTACATAACACTGCAAAGAAAGTGGCACAGGCCTGAGATATCTTCGGTGGCCCCGTCCAAGGTGGCCCTGCTGTCTCTGTAAACTCAACTCAGATCTAATTAGCCCAGCCCATCTTCTCGTGGTCATGCAGGTCCGAGGTCACTCTATAAACTGGGGGAAATTGATAGCGGAATTATGCACTCCGAAATTAATTTTATATTGTACTGAATATATATTTTTTTTATTGTGACTTTATCTTGTTGGAAAAAGTGCTTACTTCTGATATTGTGGATATTACTGACCGTGGATTACTTTTATTTTGGTTTTTACACAACAGTTATATTAGAAATTTGCTGTTTTATTCTTACCTTCTTAGTAAAAATCCTTTTATCACACAATGGGTAATTTATATCCATTACCAGGCCTTTCAATCCTTTTCAGCGGGCTGTCAGTGCCGTTGGCACAGTAATGATTAATGTGATCTAATAATAGTGTGCCATTATATTACCTTAGTAAAACATGTACCAACATCCTATTCGGATCTACCAAATTCATAGCTTCCTATAATATTTTTGTTGAAAGACAGGATTACTATTTTTCAAAGCTGATTTTTCCCCCTTTAACATATTTAATGAAATTCACAATTCTTTGCCTTAGTAATCCAAGCCATGTGATTGGATGTGACGGACGAATTCCACGTCTGTAGGCACCATTGTGATTTGTCAGGCGAGAGCTGTGATAGTCCCAGAGATCTGTCAGGGAGATTATTTTGGGTTTTGTTGTTGTTGGGCTTGGATTGCTTTGCGAAGAAGAAGAAGAAGAAGAAGAAGAAGAAGAAGAAGAAGAAGAAGAAGAAGAAGAAGAAGAAGAAGAAGAAGAGGAAGAAGAAGAGGAAGAAGAAGAAGAGGAAGAAGAAGGAGGAGAAGAAATAATTGCTGGGTCTCCAGTCCCTTCTGCCTTCTAATAAAGAAAGTATGTTTTAGATCAAAGGTAAAAGAGTAAGTAATTTAGTTCCAAGGCACCTTTCTTTCCACCCATTTTTTCCCCTCTTCTGTCACTCGCCTCAGTCTGTTGGCAGACACGAGGGGTGGTAAAGCCAGAGGAAGTAACCCCAGACAGGCATCCCAGGATGCTCCTCTCTGCCCCACTCTTTCCTCTACCCTTGACCCCACCTCTTTGGATCTGATATAGGGCTTCTCAGTCCCTGGAGTCATGGCTCTGTTGGGCTATTATTTCTGCACCACAAAAAGCTGTCCGTCCATGTCAGGATGTTTCCCAGCACCTCTGGCCTCTTCCTACTAAGATACCGTGAACACACTCCTTTTCCCACTGGGACAGCCAACACGTACCCAGACATTTACACAAGTCCCCTGGGGAGTCCAATCAACCCTTATTGAAGGCCCACTCGTCTAATGTGATAGACACACAAACAGATGAGTGTGAGAGTGGGGGAACTCCAGAGGGGGGGCAGGGCTTCTGGTACCTCGTGTACATCTTTAACTTTGGAAGAAAGGGCGGTGGTATACAGCGCTTTGCTTCTTTTTCTTTGCTGGAACACGGTCCTCCTTCTCCCGTGCTCCCCCCCTTCCACATCTGTCATAGAGCCAGGCCCAAGTGAGGGCCTGAATCTTTAGCTCCTTCCACTTAAATCCCATTATAATCACACTCATGACTGATAACATTCCACCTTTTCAAAGGGCTTTAAAATCTGTGTCAACCAAGGATGACATTATTGTAGTGCCGGGGAGATGTATTCAAACAATTACACACTCAAATCGAAGTGGGAAGGGTTGTCCTTCTATCCCCGGTGCCTTTGTGATGTGGTTTGAGCCAGCATCTCAGCTCCCCAGCCCCCTACAAAGCTTCAGCAGAAAAAATAAATGGGAAGAAACAGGTTTCACCCTTGATACTACTCAGCTTGGAAAACAGCTTGAATATTGGGACTCCTTGGGTATGGAGGGTGGGGGGAAAGGTTAAAGAGAGAGAGAGAGAGAGAGAGAGAGAGAGAGAGAGAGAGAGAGAGAAAACCTTATTTTTGATTCAAAACAAGAATTACTACTGCAACATTGACTCGAACTATGCAATCAACTGAAATCAGGGTAAGTATTTTGAATACAAAATTTATACTGAAATACTTGAATCTTGATACATATGCACCCACATACATGTATATATTTAAACCAAGGTTAGGAAGATGGGGAATAATACTTCTGTCATAAAAATATTGACTGCAATATTTACCCTCAGATGATTCCGCCACATTGGAGTACAATTTTTGTATCATTAACATTTTCCATATGAGGCTTCTTGTTTGTTTTAACAGTAAGTGAGCAAATGGATCTAATCTACCTTTGTGTTAGGAAGATTTCAAGTGTACTGTGATGTTTGCAATGGGAAGGATCTTGGCCCATTTTTGGTCTGTCTCCCGTACAGCAGAGTAAGCCTGGTGAGGGTAAGGGCCTTTCATATTTTGTTCAGTGTTATTTCTCTAGTTCTTGGAATGGTGTCTGATGAATAGTAGGTTCTCAATAGTGAATGGTTGGGTGGATGGATAAATAGATGGATGGGTAGATAGATACATAGATGGATGGATGTTTGGGTGGGTGGATACTCAGGTGGATGTTTGGATTGGTGGATGGATAGATGGATGGATGGGTGTGTAGGTAGATATATAGATGGATGGATAGTTGGGTGGATGGATGGGTGGGTAGATGGATGGGTGGGTGGGTAGAATAGAAATATAGGTGGGTGGCTAGATGAATGGATGGATAGATAGATGTATGGGTAGATGAATAGATGGGTGACTGAATGGGTGGATGGGTAGGTGACTGGATGGAGGATGGTTTGGTAGATGGATCAATGTGTGCACAAATACATGAACGGATGGGTGAGTACATAGACAGGCAGATGGGTGGACAGATAAGTAGTTGAATGAATGAATGGATAGGCAGATGGGTAGATAGATGAATAGATGGATAGATGGGTAGGTGGGTTTATATTTTCATTTTAGTCCATTTTTTTCCACTTAGAAATATATGTCTAAGACTGTGTAAGCTGAAAAGCATCTTACCATAAACATATATTTAAAATCTCTGAGAGTACATGCTTATATGGTTGGGACAAAAGACATTCAGTATACTAGGAGCGGGTGACCTCTTTCAAAGAGGACCCTGGATGAGGAGTTCTCCAGGTTCAGAAGACCCTCTGTGCATATGCATGATATCCATCTCCTGGCCCAAATGGTAAGGACATGTTCTTCGTGTTTGTAGAGGCTCTCCTGTCCTCTCCTAACCTAAAGTGCTTCATTTCCTTGGACTGGCCAATGCTCAGCCATGTGGACTCAGTCATCTTTAGGACAGGCTGAGAAAGGAGCATATGGTACACCCTCAAGTGCGCGTGGGGTGTGAGCAATGAACCCCCGTATTAGGAAACGGGTGTCCCTGCAGTGGGGATGGTCCATATCTGTCCATCACTGGCTTTCAAACTATCGGGCAATAGTCATAAGGGAGAGAAAGCCATGGGTGGCCAGACTGGGCTACGTCCTAGAGCTAACGTGGGGATTCTGGAACTGCATTTCCTGGGTCAGAACACCGGCTCTACTCTCTAGCGCTCATTAGCTGCATGCATATGTGCCACAAGACTTATACCTCCACTCTCTCATCTGTACACTGTGTAACAGCAATGTGCAATAGATTATGCCATGCTGCAGACTTACAACAATGTCTGGCTCAAAGCAGATGTTTCATAAACGTGTGCTACTTTTATTGTTTTCATTTTATCTGCTTTTATGCAAGAACAATGCAAGGATAGACCTTTTTTTTTTTTTTCAGAAAATTAACTTTCTTCCCTCTGGTCCACACCAGGGCTAGGAACCCCAAGACGTAGCCAGGCATTCGGTCTCCCCAGCACCCCTGGGGACCTTGGTTAGTAAGTTCAGAGGATGTCAGAAAGGGTGGTGAGTTTCTTAAGTCGGCTTCCCCATCCCATTCCTTTTGTGAGGGAGCATTGTTGACATACCGCTGGGGGTTTGGGATTTGCTTGGTGTTCGGGAGTGGATTCCTGGGATAGAAGCCACGTGCTCATGGTGGGTGGGAGGGGAGCCCCGTGGCTTCGCTCTTCTATCCCCTTGCAAGGAAGTCCGCTCAGCGTCATGGCCCAGTTTTATATTTTTAGCTGCCACTGAAATTTAATGTTTTGCTTTTGGTTTATTATGTATGCAAGTATCTTGCTGATAAATTACATGTGTAATTGTACCATCGTCACTGCTGCTAGTCAGCGACAACATATAATTAAACTCACCCTTGTAGTCATTGAACTTTTCTGTCCCTGACAAGATCATTGACCACCCCAGGCAGGGTGCATCTCCATGAGGAGCCATGTGTGTCCCTGAGTGGCTGAGTTACCCTCCCACCTCTGGTCTATAGGGCACCCCAGGACACCCTCTATGTGCACATAGGCATATT